CATGTAGTGAGTTCTGCTTTAATTTGACTTTAAAAAAAAAAACTGCTCTGAAAAATGCTCATCGAAGAAGACAATTAACGCATCTCCTGTTTGCTCTGCTGTGTTGAAGGTCTAAACTTTCTGAATGTTGAGCATAGCCACTTCTTAATTTGTCAGGACCAGAAGAGGAAGTTAGTATCTCTTATTACAGGACATGGGCTGGAAACAGTGGTACCTGGCATCGGACCCTCCTTGTGTGCTGAGTGCTGATCATTTGCCTAGCTTAGATATTTAAGCCATCAGTTTGGTGGAGCAGACAATGGGACAGAAATGTTAGTGTACCCTTGAACAGATGTAATATTGTGGCTTACCAGTCCTATATGAAGGAGGCTGCTTACTTGTACCTAGAATGCAGCTCCTCCCTAACACCCAACAAGAAGCTGAGGCTACAAAACTCGTGCATAGTAGGGGCAAGGAGTTCTGTAGTCCAGAGCTGAGAATAGTCAACAGAGCATGACAAGTTTTCTGGCAAATCAACATACCTTCTATGCACTTGGCAAATGGATACAATGTCTTTGTGGTATTTAAGCTAAAGGGTGCAGATAAAAATTGTTTAGTGTGGGTGGGTTTGACTGTTACTTGTGAAGACTGCATCTATAAAATCTGACTTTCTAATTTAAAACATTCCCTTCTGCTTAACTACCCACCAAGATTTAAATCCTAATCTGTTCTTGTTAAACTGATACTGATGTGCATGTAACCATTTCACTTGACTTTTTACAGGCCAATTCTACAGCAATGGAGGCGGCTCTGGCAATTCAGGTGGCGGCTCTGGCAATTCAGGGGGCTATGGCTCTGGGGGCTATGGCTCTGGTGGCTATGGCTCTGGAGGCTCTGGCTCCTACTATCAAGAAAGCTATACTGCACCAACTCCCCCTAAACCCTTTGTGAAGAAGCCTCCCCAACAACCACCACAGCAGCAACAGCAGCAGGCACCAGCCCCACAGCATTCAGTCCAGTCTAAGCCTTCATACAATCAGGGCTACCAGTCACATCAAGCCCAGCAGCAACAGAGCTACAACCAGAACCAGTACAGCAACTATGGACCACCACAAAAGCAGAAGGGAGGCTACAACCAAGGGAATCAGGGAGGTGGCGGCGGCAACGGCGGCTCCTATTCTTATTCCAACACCTACAACAGCAGTGCTTCCTCAGGTGAGACTGGACCAGGCTTTTTAAGTCCATAGTGGTTCTATTGTGGCAGTGTGTGAATGGCAATCAACATGTGACTTTCTTTTTAGCAGGCTATAACACTGAGGGAACAGGTGGACGGGGTGGCAATTCATACACAGCACCCAACACTGGCTACAGTTCGGGCACAAACTATGGTGCTGGTGCCAACAATTCCTCATACCAAGGTAAGGATAAATGACTGTTTTCATATCACTACCACTGTAGATAACATTTTCATTGTTGTTGCATCTATCCGATTATTGGTAAATTCTGACTCTTGTATATTGGTCTTAACTGTTTTTTTTCTAATCCTTTAGGATACTCCCAAACGGGCTACAATCAAGCTCCTGCACAAAACTACAACCAAGCTCCTGCCTCCTACCAGGCAGCCCAAGGAGGAACTGGCAACTATGGCAGAACAGCAGACCACAGCATGAATTACCAATACAGATAGACTCTATGCCCAAAATTCCCTTCTGTCTCTTCTCTTGACCCTTCCCCCCCGCCCCACTACGTC